AAATATTTTACAGTAAAGCTGCCTTTTGACATTCACGTAGACCAATAGATAGTGACTTCTCAGTTATGCCCAGCATTGGATACTCTTCTCATTCAAGCCATCCCATATACTTTCAAACAAGCTTTCTCTTCTCCCAAACAAAGATTCCTTCTGACATCCACGTAGACCAAGAGATACAAAGATATCTTCTGACATTCACGGAGACCAAGAATAGTGACTTTTCAAGAATCCAATGCTACTCTCTCGTACCAAAGTTTATCTATAAATATGTTCATCCAAGGTCACATGTTTTCATTCAAATTTGCATCTATCTTTGTTCTTCGTTTCTCTCTGTCTTTGCTCCCATTACTAAAAATATTGTTGTGGAAGCAAAACGAACATAGGTCCGCCTTTATTAGAAGAATGGTAAGTTTTACACATTATCATTATTTATTGAATATGTAAATCAATATCTATATATAATGTTACTAATTTGTTAATAATTGCAGGGAATTGAAAACTTGATTTCATCTTTCTGTCATTCAATGCCAAAACCCAGTCCTCTAATTGTTCCTATACTTGAATAACTTGGTTTTGCTGGGGTAGCAAAGTTAAGGCATCTTAAGGTGGATCACACATTGATAACAGCTTTGGTTGAAAGGTGGAGACCTGAAACTCACATATTCCATTTTCTAACAAGAGAGTGCACCATAACCCTGGAGGATGTTGCACTTCAACTCGAGCTAAGAGTTGATGGATTGCCAGTCATTGCTCCAATAATGTTTGACTATGAGGAAATGTGTGCCACATATCTCAATATCGTGCCAGTTAAAGGAGAGTCACTTATTGGCTTTATGTTGAAATTGAAGTGGCTAAAAGACAACATGTTGCCATTACTAGAAAAACCATCTGAAGAATAAGTTCATGCCCATTGTAGGACTTATATACTAGGTTTAATTGGAGGTGTTTTGATGCTTGAAAAAATAGGCAACAAAGTACATCTTAGGTATTTAGCTTTATTAACTAATCTTAAAAGAACAAGACAATATAGTTGAGGTTCTGCTTGTTTAGCTATGTTGTACAAGAAAATGTGCAGAGCCACGAAAGTTGGTAGTAAAACAATAGGTGGTTACTCATCACTGTTAATATCCTAGACATGGTATCATATGTCATATATTACGCTAATTTCTACTAATCCACCAACATACCCTCTCATGTGCAAATGGAGCAGAGGTAGAGTACTAAACTTTCAAAATAAACCTCACAATGATGTTGTGGGGTACAGATTAATATTTGATCACATTCAAACTAATCAGGTAACTCTTCATAACAAAAATTTGAATTCATATTTATTTTCTTATCTTTTACACATCATCTTAAGTAACAAAGTTAAATTTATTTTTAGTTTATATGGGCGCCATATCAAGATATGCAAACATCAATACCCATGGAAGCATATAGAGATGTCCAACTGTGGACTTCATATACCGCCATCCTTTATTTTACAATTGTTGAATAACACCAAACAAATAAGTCAAATTTCACAAAATTGACATGAGAGGAAGATAAGATGAGAATTGGGTTACAAGACATGCTCAATGGATCGAGATATGGAACAACAGACGTGAGCTAACAATAATGGGTCATCCAATGTAAGGCCCATTGTGTCACACACAAGAATACATAGAATGGTACATTGTCAATTCCATCTATTTCCTATCTGTGCCACCACTACTATAATATCCAAGGAGGAGTCACCAACAACTAAAGACTACCAACACATTTGAAATCGGGATGACTTCCACACTATCGTACCACAAGACTGCATCAATTTCTTTAAACATTACGCCAGAAACAAGCATAATTAACACAAGACATTCGTTTGCAATAACATCGAAAATTTTTTTTACAAACTTATTTGGAGTTGATTTTACAACTTCATCTTTAGTATAATCTTACATGCAGTCTTTTTACCAACTGGATTTTGCTAATGAATATTGTAATTCATTAACTGCATTCCAACAACTAGACCTTCATGATAATCCAAATCCTCCACAAGTTCATCATGAAATCTCAAAGTAACAACTACAACGATGAAACTCAGCACGTCACAGACGTCGCCCTCGTTGTGGAACTGTCCACCATTATAGAGATAGTTAATTATTAATGTTGTTATAAATTTGTTATCATCTTTATTAATGCACTTTATCTTCATCAATGTTACATTATAATATGAAAATGTTAATTTTAAAATATTTGTCTCAAATATAAATAATTAACTTATAATTTAATATTTTATTTACTTTTTAAAAATAAATTTTTATTCTAAAATAAATTTTATTAAAAATTATAATATTAAAGGTTTAGGGTTTAGGGTATTAAACATTAGGAATTATTATTTATGGTTTAGGGTATTAAAAATTATAATATTAAATAATGTAATTTTAAAAAAACTAATTTAATTAAAATAAAATTTTATTGAAAATATCATTTTATCGTACTAATATTTAAAAATATTAACTCAAAATTATATATTTAAATAAATAAATAAATAGAATAATATTTAATATATTTATTTAGTTTTTAAAAATATTATTATTATTCTTTAAGTATAAATAATTTAAGCATTAACATTACTATCTAAAATAATATACTTTTTATTTAAATATTTTAATTATTTTTTAAAAATAAAATAATTTACTTATTATTTAATTTTTTTAATTAGTTTTTAAAAATATAATTATTATTTATCTAAAAATATAATTGATAAATACTTTCTATACTTGATCCTACATTGTAATTCATGAATGATAATTGAGAGTTTTAAGCTATTCATTGAGAAAAGTTCTTATTATTAATTTCATTTTATTCATATTTCAGGAAAAAAGATCAATAAGTGAAAGGTTTAGAAGATATTAGGAATTGAAGCACAAAAAAAATCAGAGATATACACAGGAAAGTACACATCCGTGTATATGAGTGTGTATCTCACTGGTTGCATAAATCAAGAACACAATGAAGTCATTGATATACAAGGGCAAGTACATGCTCGTTTGCCCATGTATATAAGCGTATATCTCACTGGTCGCGTTAATTGAAGTGTATCATCAAAATCAGAGATGTACACAGTCAAAGTACATAGGCATGTACTTTTCATGAAAGCTGTGAAATACAATTTTTAGAGACCAGAAATGTACACGGCCAAAGTACATGGCCGTGTACTTTTAACATGCGTTAGAATTTAAATTTTTGCGAGAAGATGAGCCCTTGGACTATTCATATAAAAGGAAACTTGGCACAGAAACCGAGAGGACACTATTTTGGGGAGAAGAAAGACTCAGAGACGGCTGAAGGATGGGATCAAGCACCTTTATTCATCTCTTTTGTAATTTTAGTTTCAAGATGTTTAGGTTCTAATTTTCCTTTGAGTATTTAGACATAATGAATCTTAATTGACCAAATTTTCTGGAATTCTTCTAATGCTATTACATGTTCTTTTCTCTTGGGTTTAATTGAGTAGTATCAATTGTTTTCCATCTTTTTTTTTTTGTTTGAAATTAAGTAAAATTCCTGCATAAAATTAACATTGCTCAATTAAAAGGATTTGAATGTATTTCTAGAGATAGAAAGACGTAAGTTTTCTGTATTAGGATTAACCCTAATTATGGAATTCATAATGAACTTAATGCAACCTAAGGGTATTAATTAAGGAAGAGATTCTAATTGATCAACCGAGGATTAGAAATCATTATCCTTGAGAAAGGTATTAATTCAGCGATAAGGGTTTGGAACTAAGTAGTTAAAGAAGAATTTTAGTTATTTAGACACTTAGGAGGATTTACAAGCTAGATACTTGCATTTTTCCCTTGAATCTTTTAGTCATACTTTTCTATAATTTATTATCATAAGAAATCTGTTCCTTTTAATTTATTATTCTTCTATTTTTAGTAATTTTATCAACAAAAATTTATTTCTTATATTCATTAACAATTGCGTAATTAAGGAAGTAATTCTTAATAACAGTCTATGTGGATACAACACTTGTACTATATTTTTCATAATATTACTCTGACAACGGGTACACTTACCCAGTAATCAATTTTTACACACCAATAATTTATTATCATAAATATGTAAAATAAATATGTTTAATAATAATATTTATTTTATTATATAAAAACATAAAAAAAATTAAAAATAAAAAAAATCTAATCTAGAATTCAATTCCCTAAAAATCGAATTCTGACTCTAAATTATTTGTTAGAGTAAATAGGTTCAGATGGGTAAATATTTTCTTGTTTGATCTATTTGTGCATTTTAATATTTTTTTAATATTTTTTATATAAAAAATTCTTATCTGTTCACAATTCACTAAGTATATAATTGAAAATTAAATTTAAATAAAAATAATGTGTGAATTACATTCTTTCATACTTTAATAGTTAAATTTTTTTTAAAATTTGTGTTAATTTTGTTTTAAACTTTGAAGATTAAAGTTGTTATTTAATTTTTTATTAAATAATTTTTATTTTTTATAAATATCTATTTTACATTTATGAAATTCATCTTAACTTTTTTGGTTTTTTAATATAAAATTTACTTCTAAGAGTCTTATATCTTAAATTTGTGATTATTAATATATATTAATTATTGATATTAATTAATTTTTTTATACTATTCAAAAAATATTATTTTAAAATAAATTATATTTTAAAATTATTTAATTTTTTAACTATTTATCATTTTAATACATATTATTATAATTATAGAATTAAATTAAAACTGTTTTTAAAAATTATTATTTTAAAAAATTATTATGCATAATTATTTATAAAATATAAAATTTTATTCTTTAATATTAATATTATATAGATATTTATTCAAAAATAAAATATCACAGTGCATTAAACCCTAAACTAATTTTAACTTATATGCAAACTTAATTTTTAAATTTAGAAAAAAAGGAAAAAGAAAAAGACCCGAATGAAATAAGATGTACCACCCTACCCGTTCCATAAGCCACTTGACCCGTGGTTTCGATAATCTCTTCCCTCTCTTGCAACATCGTAAACCCCTTCGCTCGCACATTTTGAAGAACACAAGAAATCAGAAACCTAGGAAATTCTTTTGGTATTCAATTCGCCGGGAATAAGAGGCATCTATCTTTTGGGTAATTTATTCTCTCTTTTCTTCTTCTTTTTTAGCGATTATTGTATTTTAGTGAGTTCTAGCTTGTTTCTGCATGTAAGGTGTTTGTGAGATGTAAACTTGCAATTTGAACCAAGTTGTGGGTTAGTCATATGTGTTGAACGTGACTTGATGTATATGAACTGAGATCCTCTTCTCTTGGTGCCCTTGATACAATGAAATTGATTTGAGTGGCTATTAGCTGGTTTTGGGTTGTTGCAATTCTACTGTTTTGAGTGTTGTGATTTGCGTGACCTTCGATTCGATGACATGTTGTGAGGTTTGGACTTATATTTTGTTGGGTGATAAGCATGTTTCGGGAATGGCATTGCAGTGCTATGGGGCATTTAATTTGGTCATGATTAATGATTTATTTGGTTCATGCTCGCTGTACCACGCAGCACCCCCCGACTTCACCTTTTATTTTAGGATGGATACTCACTTCTGATCCTGATTTACTAATATTACTTGTCTTTACCTATGACATATACAGGTTGAAGTTGAATCGTAAAAACATTTCATGGCTGAAGAAGTGACGATGGTGGAACCTGGAAGAGCTCTGGGTAAGAGGAAATTTGTTAAAAAGCAAGGCCGTAAAAAGTCAAGTAAGAAAGCAAAAGTGATGCCACCACCCCATGGACAGAAGAAAGTTAAAATAGACAAAAAAATGAAGAAACTTTTCCGCAAGCGAGCACGAGAGTATAATTCTGATGATGAAGAAGATGAGGCCACTGTCCGTGTTTCCAATAAAAGAAATGAGGAGGATGACGTGGAAAGTGAAGATCTGTCTGAAGATGAAGGAGTGACAGGGCGACAAAGAACATGGAATAAGAATGCTACTGATGTGAATAATGGCATCTATGACGATGAAGGAGAAGATAATGGTGAAATTCAGCCAGGAATTACAAAATTCACTGAAGGTTGTAGAGCATTCAAGATGGCCTTCAGGAATATTATAAAGAAGAGTATTTCTGATGACCTATTGGTAAGTTAGGTGCATAAACACAACACGGTTATGTTTATATGGAGCATTGGAAAACTGGTTTTTAAGACTTGGATAACTCTGTAGGGTCCAGTATTGTCAGGGCACAAGAAACTTGTTATAGACAAACTTGCAGAAGAGGAAGCAGAACGCAAGATCAAGGGAGAGGCAAAAAAGGAGAAGCATATGGTAATTGTAAAGTTCAAGTTGACTGATTTTAATTTTATCCCAGATAGTGTTGACATATGTTTCACCAGGTTCTTGTCACCCAAACTTTTACATGCTTGGGAGTAATAAGTCTTAATTAGTAAGTAATCTTATTTCTTGTTACAGTTAGCCGAAAAGGGGCATGTCAAACCTGCTACTTTCTTGGACTCACGTGAAAAGTTTCTAATAAGTGTTGCAACAAAAGGAGGTAAGTGAGTTGGATTTTCTTTTAAACATAAGTCTATGGCTTCATTATTGACATGCAGTTTCCTCATACTGATTTGGACTGTTGTTGTGACCATGCATCACATTGGATTACTTTCAGTTGTCAAGTTGTTCAATGCTGTAAGTTTTCGCAGAACCAAGTTTTGGTTTCCTTCCTCGATTTTCTATCGGTGACTCTCTGTTGCTTTGTATCTTTATCATTATGGAATGAGAGATATTGTTCACACCTGCTGCAGGTCAATAAGGCACAAACTGCTCAGAAAGGGTTGGACCCTTCAAGGACTAAGGATGCAAAAGGTAAGTTGTCTAATGCTGTAATTTCAAGAAAATATTCAGAATTGCTATTCTTTTTTAAGAAAGTAGTAATACAGTACATACATTTCAGAATTATTTTTCACTCTATTTTTCAGTTCATCCTTGTCTATTCTATTTGTATGGGTCCTAATATATTCAAACTTGATAGTGCGTGCTCAATTCTAACTATCTAGTGCGTGTATGCTGCCAGAGATAAGAAAGCGGACCAAAGAAGCCTTCTTTTCAGAGTTAGGGAAGTCATCGTTTCCAGCAACCGGCACCCTTGCAAAGGTGATTTGTTACTGCTTGTTCTCTTTTTAGTTTTAGCCTTTTGTTGGATTCTTTTTGTTAACAACTCAATAAGTTCAAGCAGTGTTTGAAAATATGGTCAGACTGGTTAGATCTTTCAGTCTTACCAGCTCGCCCATGCGTATTTCATAGTTGTTAGCCCCAAAATCCAAAATGTTAAAAAAAAAAAAAAAACTGGTCATAAAATGTTGCAGAGAATTTAACCAGCAGTAAACACTCATGAACTGGGAGATATTATTAAAAACAAAAACAAATATCTAAATTCTAGTTCTTAAATCTATATGCACATCTATTTCTCTTTAAAACAATTAATCTATGAGCTCTAAACTAAAGTAGTTTAATGTGAAACACCATGTTTTGCTACCCTTACAATTTCTTCAATACCGTATTGTATCATAATGAAGTAGCTTCCATCTTACGCCAAAATTTCAAACTGTTTGATGTGCAGGCCAATGCAAGCACAGGCAAGGTAGAAGATGAACAGCCTGCTTGGGCTCCATTAAGAGATAATTACATGCTGACAAGTTCTAGACTAAAGGATTGGGACAAAATGCCTGTAAGTATCTTTTGAACTAGTAGCAAGTTACTCTTGTGCTACACAGCTACCTTGCAACTCATCGTTTTGCTTACCTGCAGGATAAAAATGTATCAGATGGCATAGGAAAGACTTCTGAAGATAGTAGTTCTGATGAAGATTAGTGTTTTATAACTTTAGCAAGCAGTCATGAGATATTTATAATGGAACAGGTTGTCAGATTTTGAATATTGGAACTGTTATAGTTTTTATTGGCATAGGAATATCTTAGTTACCCCATACAATTTTGCTGTCAATGGTGTACTAATACTACTAATTAATCATTAGTATCGGATTTAAAACATTATATTTCCCAATTGCTCTCTTGATTCGGTACGAAAAAGAATGGACTGCTGATTTACTATATATCTCTTTCTTAAGTCTCATATTTAGTGGGCTTCATCCTAAGTCCCAATATATAAAAATAGGGCTGGATAAAAATTTCAGTTTTATAAGTCTAATCTATGATTAATATTAAATTAGTTTTAAAATTTAGATCTATATTAAACTGGTTTTTTAATTAACTATATTTATGTAATCAATTTAGTATTTAAATTTACTTTTTAAAATTATTATTTTTTTATTTATTCAAATTAAGATAATATCTTATGTCTTTACTTATTAAATTTTTACACTATATCAGTTTATAAAATTTTATCGTAATTACATTTTACTACTAATATTTTTAATTAATTCTAATTTTTATAATTAAAATTAAATATTTAAAAAAATATTTATAAAATATAAATATTATATTAAAGATATTAAAATATAATATATTTTTAAATTAATTACTATCATTGTTTTTATATTTATATTTACTTTTAAATTTTTAAAATATTATAACATAATAATTTTATTATTATTTATATTATTACTTTTTATTTTTATAGGTTTTAATTTAAATTTTTATCACTAACTTTGTTTATTAAAAATAAGTTAAAAATAATAGTAAATGTTTTATAAATTTCTATAAAATATAATATAATTAATACATATTGTTAAAATATTTTTATAATGTTTTCTGCAACAAATTAGTTTGATTTTAAAAATAAAATTTACAAATATATTAAAATTAAATTTTAAACTAATTTAACGTAAAACTAAATTTAAAACTAGTTTTAAAAAAAAAATTAAATTTAAAATTGATTCTAAACTAAATTTAAATTTTAAAACTACTTGTAAATTGATTAATAAAATAAAATAAAATAATTTAAAATTCAATCCATGTAATAAGTTTGTGTAATAGATAGATGATAAAAAAAAAAAAGAATATATCTAAATATTTATTAGTTTGATAAAATATAAAAATATAATATTAATAAATTAAAATATATATAAATATTCTCTTGACAAGATGTAATGGATTACAGTAGCTCTTGTACTTATATTTTATCTTTAATAAAATGTTTATGCTTAACTATATATATATATATATATGTCTGTGTGTGTATGCGCGCGCGCTTAAATATAAAGTCATATTAGTTATTATAAAATTTAAATATTTTTTAATATATTAATTTAATAAAAAATACAAAAAATATTTATAGTATATTTTTACTATATTTAAAACCGATTTTAAACTAAATTTAAACTAATTTAAAAAAAATTAAAATAGATTGATTTATAATACAATCCATGCACACCCCTAATTAGTCCCACAAAGAAAAAAGAACATTTTATGAACAAATTAAAAAAAGTTAAGTATCAAATCTAGTAGTAAAAACTTGTCACAATCCATTGATTCAAGTACTACTAGTATAAGAAAATTTTTCTCATATATATATATATAAAATAAGTTGTTTCATTTTAAAAATAAATATTATTAAATTAAGATTAACTAAAATTTAAATTTATAAATATTTTTTAATTCTTGCATAATTTATGAATTTTGTAATATTAATCTATAATTACAATTTTTACGATGATAGTATTTTTTTTATTTTTTTCACATATTAACTTTCATTTAAATAACTCAATTTAAACATTTTAATAGTAAATAACTTAATAAACTTAACTAGTATTACTTTTTTTGTCATCTTTACTATGAATTTAGAAATATTTATTAAATATGTGATTTCTTTAAACAAATTAAATATAATGTTCATAAAAAAAGTGAAAAAATTAATATTTATAATAATTTAATAAAAATAAAAAAAATAATAATAATATAAATATATTATTACGTAAAAAAATTTTATAGTTAGTATTCAATTATAAAATAATATTTGAAAAGTTATTTATAAAATTATATGAATAAAAATTATTAATAATATAGATGAAATATTAAATATATATCTAACTTATTTTGATAAGAAATTATATTTTATATAATATTATTTAATAACAATAATTCAGTTTACACGTTTAATATATTACAAATTTAATTTTTTTTCATTTATTTTTAAGTAATTCTTGTGAATACAAAATTTTCTACAAGAGCTAAGTCTTTCTCAAGAGAAGTATGTCTTGCACCGTGATAGCTAAAGTGCAATCCATCTCCGCAAGAACTCGACCTTTTATTTAAAGTCTAAGCAGATTGAGGTTCATTATCATTGGATAAGGGATGCACTGACGATGAAGCAATTATCATTGGAGAAAATTCATACTAATGAGAATAGTTCAAATATGATGACAAAGACTTTGCCTACCGAGAAATTTGTCACTTGTTGGAGGAAAGGGTCTTGTTGATCGTTGCTCCACTTGATTGTTTAGGGAGAAATTTGTCAAGTGTGTCACCATCAAGTAGGCCCACGTTGATTTGGTAAAAAAAAAAAAAAAGGTGTGTTATGGAAAGTTACAGAGACAAAAAAAAATAGAAGTTGTCTCAAAATGTGCGGTGTACCCATTAAATGAATTTTGTAGATTCAAAACATATTTCAAATATTACATCATCCATCTATTTCAAAACCTTTTGATTTTCTTTACAAACCTTATCAATATTAAGAAAAACTTGACCCTTCTGCTGCGATCATTGTTGAAAATACTTCAAGTCATGTGTACCCCTGAGAAATTGCTAAGAACATCTTCTCTTCTTCCTTTTATTATCAACCTAAAAGATATTTCAAAAAACAAGAAGCTATTATGAATTTATTACAGTGGATATTGATTTCATATAATTAGTTTATAATTATAATAAAGAAAATAAAAATATATTATTTCCAAATATCAAAATTTGTAAGTTATGTTTATTTAAGTGTAAAATCAGCCAATGTTTAATTATTTTCTTACATGTGTTAAGAATGCTACTTTCAAATAGTTTGTAAAATTGACACCAAACGTAAGTCTAAAAGACTTACACGCAATCTCAACCATAGAAATCAATAATCTAACAGTTAAAAATTTACTTTTTTCTACGTGCTTATACTTTATTACTTTGATTAAACAATAAGTAACTTTTCAACCGTTAGATTATTGATTTGTACAGTTAGAATTTGGTGTAAGTCTAAATAAGAATTTGGTGTACTTTATTACTTTGATTACACCAGTATAAGTTTAAAAACTCTTGCACTTGATCTGAACCTTTTATTTAACTTACATCTAACGATCAATAAAATAATAAATTTTATATTTTAAAAATTTAATACCCATTAAAATAAAGTAATTATACCTACTAATTTTATTTTTATATTTAATTTAATAGGGTATAAATTTCTAAATTTAACATCTAATATCTATCTATCTATCTCTATCTCTGCATGTATATATAATTCATTAAATTTAGATGTATCTACAAAAAATTTATTACACCAGGTCAAACAATTTGGCACCATAATGGTCCAAAACAAGCATAGACCATTGTAGAATTTAGAGAGAAAAGAGTAAATGTGAGTAATGGATTTTCTCATGAGATTGATGCAATGTTATTCAAGTATTTTCTATTCAAAGTTAAAATTACTCAAACAAATTTATATGTTAATTAGGTTTCATACAATGTTAAAAGACTTGCTGATAATGTTAATTTAATTGACCAATTTATGTTATTGCATGGTATTAAAGTATATTTTTAAAATTATTAATGATTAAAATTAAGGTGTCAAATTTTGTTTTCAAAATAGAACTAAATCTTGCATATTAGTGGAATGATGATGACATTAACATAGAAAGAGATTCGGAAAACACTTTGTCAACTCAAATTGTTGACAATTTAAAGATTATAATTTGTTTTGAATAAATTTAATCATCTTCAAATTAAAATTCTATTTCAATTGATAAATTTACTTATTATCAAATCTCTAAACAAAAATTTGTATTATATTTGATGCACGACAACTTTGAATGAAAGTGTTGGCTTAATCACGAATAATATTGAAAATAAGTAAATAATTGATATTATAAAGGTAGTAAATAAATTGACTTCAAATAAATAACAATATTTTAATAAGTATTGGTTTAAATATTAATTATTATTTAAATTATGTTACGATTCTCACATAGTTTATGTTGAAGTATGGAAAAAGTACAAAAACTGATATAAATTTAGTTTACAAGAAAATTTTTCAAAATTTAAATTAAGTTTACTATAAAAATTAAAAATTTCTTTTTTAATTAATATTAATATAAAAAAAACTTTATAAAGTTATATATTATATTTCTTTCTTTTAAATAATTAATATTTTTATTAGTAATAATATTAATATATACTAATTAATTTTAAACTTTAAAATAATTTAAATATTATTATAAAAATTTTATAAATTAATTTTTCTTTATTTTATAATTAATAATTATAATATTATATTATAATATAATAATTTATCTGTGCAATGCACAGTCACTTTACTTGTTATATAATATATTATTAGTATTTTTCTTCTGACAAAATTAGGTGAATACATAAATTTACCATTCTTTTTATTAATTATTATTTAAACTATGTTAGAATTTTAAATAGTTTAGGTTGAAGTATAAAAAAATACAAAAACTATTATAGTGTAAAAAAAATCTTTCAAAATTTAAATTAAATTTATTATAAAAATAACTATATAAAATTATATATTATATTTCTTTCTTTTAAATAATTAATATTTTTATTAGTGATAATATTAATATATACACTAATTATTTTTAAACTTTAAAATAATTTAAATATTATCATAAAACTTTTATAAAATTATTTTTTATTTTATAATTAATAATTATAATATTACATTATGACGTAATAATTTATTCGTGCAATTCACCAGTCACTTTACTTAACTCATTTGTACCAAATAAGGCATTATTCGATCATCCTTAAATAAATTAGAAACTCAATATCCCTTACCAACACCCTTTCGGCCTTACCTCTGGATGAGGGGTAATAACACCCCTTCGACCTCACCACCCTTTCGACTTCACTCGAATGAAAGGTACCAACACCCCTTTAGCCTCACCATTCATTTAGCCTCACTCTCGGACAAGAGGTACCATCACCCCTTCATTCATATCAAAATAAATTAATAAGTTAATTAAAGTAAATAACTAATAAAGAAAAATTTAATTATCCAAGCAATCAGAAGGTTAATTTAGGGCTGACTTATCAAGCACATTAGCCCAATATTATGCCTATAAAAGAAAAGTAAGAAGGACAGATAAAAGGAAAATTTAAGAATATTTAATAGCATTTGTTGTTCTATACTGAATACTAATTTGACCATCGGAGTGCCATTGCAAGTACCCTCTCCCCTATGAACAAGGAGAATATGAAATATTCTACAAGGACGTCACAACAATACGCAAAGACAGAAGTTACAGTGAATGAGTGTCTCCTTAACAGGGACATTTTGACACCCACCGTGGGGCTCGAATTGCGCCAGCCCTTAGTAAACATGTTACAGACTAGGAGTCAACAAGAAGGCCCCAGCTAGTAATGGGGAATGCCTAGAGAACCCATATAACACATTCAGAATCAGCCTATACTGGAAGAAGTTCATGTGGAAAAGGAAGAAAATGAACACCTATCCTCAGTTGTTAGGCAGCTAAAAGCGAAGATGATAGAAATGCATCACCTCCAAGAAAAAGATGCATATAAATTGTCCACGTTGTGGAGGGAGAACGCTAATCTCCGTAGTGAAATCAAAACCTACATTCTTTCCCAAGTTACACCCCTTGTTCATGAACAAGAAGAATCATTCGCCTTGCAAGAGAAGCTGAGGACCATTTAGCAGCAGATAAGGGCTAGTCCCTCGGTTGCGAGGGATAGACTTCTAGGCCGCAGCCTTTTTACTAAGCAAACTTTGGAAGCGAGATTACCAGACAATTGGAAAAGTTTGACGTTGGAAAAATATGATGGAACTTCTGATCCTGAGGAGCACGTCGATATATTCACTAACTAAGTCAGCCTTTACACTGACAATGATGCCTTACTATATTGAATATTCTCAACATCGCTTCGTGGACCAGCTCTCAACTGGTTCACTAGATTTATGCCTGCATCTCTAAACTTGTTTGCGACGCTTGTCACGTGCTTCAATTTGTAGTTCGCCACCCGTCATCCTCATCAACTGACCTCATTGGCTTTGGTTAATATTCGCGAGGAGAAGAAGGAAACACTCAGGGCGTTTATTGAACGTTTCGGGTAAATGGCCCTCTCTATCTGAAACTTGGATCCGGCAGTTGCGATGCACTATCTCATAACAGTGCTTAGGTCATGTCCGTTTGTCAACAGTATCTACAAAAAAAACTCCTGTCGACCTAAATGAAACACGTTGCCGAGCAACCAAATACATGCAGATGGAAGAACTGGCCGAGTTCTGCAACCAGGTCCAGATGGAGCAAGTGCCCAGTCAAAGGGAATCTGAAGGGAATGAACACACAAGAAATAAACATGGAAACAAGGACCAAAAGATCGGAGTTGAACGTCTACCGAGGGGACCTAGGTATGCGAGTTACATAACATTAAACACCAATCGGTCCAGAGTACTCGAGCAGGCTTTAGCAACAGAGATTGACAATACCGAAGCACGTGAACACCCCCCACTCGGGCTATAAATTGTACTTTGTAAATTTAATGCACTCTTTCCTCACTCATATTTTGTCCTCTTAAAAGAACGTGAAAAGAGGTTTTCCAAATAAGGTCTTTAACGAGGCACTTCATCAATAAAACAACATAACTTTCTTTACAAGTTGACAATCTCTTATTCTCAATATTCCCTCTCGGGTACCTCACTCGGCTAAGGTTAAATTGTCATCACCTCTCAGATATCTTGCTTAACCAAGATTCAATTATTTCCTCTCGACAACTTATTTCGGTTAGTGTTTATTTTTCCAAGAACCTTGCTTGGTTTGATTATTTTATCTCCTAACAACTCCCTCGGTTAAGGGAGAATTTACATTTACCCATTTGATTCAAATGTCAGTAGATGCTTACTATGAACGATTATTGTCGTGTAACTTATTTGTTTCAAAGTGTTAACTAGTTACAAATATCATGGTTACTAATCATTTTTAACTTATTCATTTTTTAGCCATGCATAATGTCGTCACTGAAAATTTCATTAGACACTTAACAAAATTTTATTAAGAAAGAAACTTGTATATTCCAAATAAAGACACTAAAAGGTCGGGGTCTTACAAAAATAGGTGCTAATGGCTCAGAACATACAAAAATTACGTATAAACCCCTTCGGCATAATTCATCTTTTAGACTAATGATCTCCCACGATTTCCCTATATTCAGTTGTTACTTCATTTAAAACCTGACCTGACTCCCTCTTTTCAGTTGATACTCCATTTAGGGGTTCAGCTATTGAACCACTCGTAACCTCATCAATTGAACCACTACTCGGCCCCAAACTATCCCTCAACCCAGATGCTGATAACGAGTCTTCCCACTCTATTTCCCTCTCCATTTGTAAAAACTAAGAACAAAACTCGAAAATGGCTAGGCACACATACCTGAAATGTAAATTGTAGAAGACTCAGCCTAGAGTAATATAGACGTCTTCGGTGAAGAGCAAAAGTAAGAATTCCACATTGTCCAAACCCCCTCTTTTATAGTGTGGAAGGCATCGAGCAGATAAAGAGTCACCTATCTTCTTAACCGACAATATGATGAGTATCAACAATTGTAAATGCCCAGCCTTTTTGTTTCATAACACAAACTACGAGGCAACATCACCTTCGTACCTACTAGTTCTAAAAGAAACCCTAATTCAAGCCTAAATGTCATACCTCCTCGGGCTTGGGAGGCAAGTATACCAGATAAGGTACTATTCGGTCATCCTTAAAAAAATCAGGAACCTAACACTCCTTCGACCTCACCTCTGGATGAGAGGTACCAACATCCTTTCAGCTTCACCTCTGGACAAGGGGTAACAACACCCCTTCCACTTCACTCGGATAAAAGGTACCAACACCCCTTCGGCCACACTCTCAGACAAGAGATACTGTCATCCCTTCAGTCATATCAAAATAAATTAGTAAGTTAATTAAAGTAAATAACGAATAAAGAAAAAGTTAATTACCCAAATAGTCAGAAGGTTAATCTAGGATTGACTCATCAAGTTCATTAGCCCAATATTATGCCTATAAAAGGAAAGTAAGAAGGACAGGTAAAAGGAAAACTTCAGAATATTTAATAGCATTTATTGCTCTATACCGAATATTTACTTGACTGTCGGAGTGCCATTACAGTTACCTTCCCCCTACGAACAAGGAAAATCTGAAATTTTACAAGGAGGTCACAACAATACACAGACAGAAGTTAGAGTGAATGAGTGTATCCTTAACAGGAACATTTTAGCGCTCACCATGGGACTCAAATTGCTTCAGCCCTTAGTAAACATGTTATAGACTATAAGTCAGCAAGAAAGCCCCAGCTAGTAATGAGGAATGCCTAGAGAACCCGTACGACATATTTAGAATTAGTCTATATTGGAAGAAGTTCATGTGGAGAGAGAATAATCTAAAATATTCTACAAGAATGTCACAACAGTACGCAATGACAAAAATTTCAATGAATGAGCGTATCTTTAATAAGAACATCATTAAATTTAGATGTATATAAAAAAAACTTATTACACTAAGTCAAACAATTTGGCACCGATAATGGTCTAAAACAAGCATAGACCATTGGAGAATTTAGGGAGAAAAGAGTAAATCGATAAAATTAAGGCTATTTTTCAAAACAAAATTTAATTCTTTTCAACTTTCTTTTATCAATTTACTCTTTTCTTTCTAAATTGAAATTATTTATTTTTTACCTATTTATTCAAATCAATTATGTATATTTCTTCTAGAATTATAAATATTTTATTTATAGTTTTTATATTTTGTTTAAATGACACAATATCAGTATAATACATTAGATAATCAACAGAAACTTTCATTTTCCAGCGTCCGTGCTAAACACTAATATTAGCAAAGCCGATCTTTCAGTTCCTGAACATATCAGCAGTCAATAGTCCTGTCTTGAGGCCATCCAAATTCCTCCAAGAATGCCAACACAACTCCATTAGACCAGCCAAAACCAGTCTGCTTTGCAACACAACCACAATCAGACCCATATCAATCAGGCAGATGATAATGATTAAAGTAAGGAATATCAACTACGGATGATAAAGACCAAGAATTGATATTACATGCTCATGCATAATAAATTATGAATTTGCTGAAATATACTTTGTTGATTTAAGAACATCCAAATAATTTTATTAGACTAATTTTCACCAATCAAAAGTTGGTATGTTTCACAAATCATGATGAAGAAGCTGTCATACCTGGGGTGCATATAGTCCCCCACCTCCGAATTTTCCACAACGTTCCACGTCAAATTTTTCATGCATTACACCAGTTTTCTTGTATGCATTATAGTTAGTTGTGATCCATTTTACAGCAATTTCCTCAGCCAATAACCTTGCTTCTTCTAACCCAGATTTTAACAGACCTTCAACTAGCATGTGTTGCAGTGGGGCCCAACCATTCGGAAAGTCCCTATTACATACAAGTTTCATAGAATAGAATCATCAATAAAGGCATATGAATGAAATATTTATACCTGTCCAGTGTTCCCATCCCTTCCTCACCATTATTAGTCTCATTTTTCCTCCTGTTTATACAGGCAGAAAAGCTTTCCCAGCACCAAATGTAAGCTATTCTGAATTTCTTAAAACTTACCATTGTTGTCCTGAATTAGTCAGAGATGTTGCAACTCCAGCAGCACAAAGCAGGCCAGAAGTTTTGAGGCTTTCAACAACTCTACCCACAAGTGAAGTATCTTAACAAATATAAAACATATTGGTCATCAACTAAAAACACAGGAATTATATATTTTGAAATGCAAACTAAGCTAAATTCAATACCGAAGAGTTATCTATACATTCATTGTGATCTATATTTCCCATATCCCAAATAACTTTCAGTTATTGGTTTCAGGTGTTTGTTTTGTTAGAAATAGATACTATAAATAGAAGAATAACGAAAGGGGGAAGTGTGCCGTTAGTCATTAAGAAAAGCTGATTCTGTTTAGTTATAAGGGGGAACTCTTGTAAGGAGATTCTCCTCCTTGTATTCTTTCTCACTGTTATTGAATAAAATAATTCTGTCTTCTTTCCATATTCTTGCATTTCATGCCCCAATCATTGCACCTTAATTTCCATGAAACCTCAGCTAGGTTCCTAACAGTATTGGTAACCTCGAGCTAATAAAGCTCAGTTTTACGTGGTAGATGATAAGGATTTAATATCTTTATTTTAAAACAAGATTAATCTGATACCACAATAATTGTAACAATGGGCATGCTACTAAAATTGACACGGATAAGAAGAATACCCGAGTAAAATGGCTCCATCCACAAAGGAACAAAATTGGAGGCAAACACATGTTGGTTTTGTTGCCAAGCTTCCCAAACTTGAGTTTCCTAGAAGTATCAAAGGGACAATCACCAGAACTACTGAAAACTATGACAACTATTATGTAAGATTTATACATGCGGCCCTCGATAGTCGATACTACCTCACATGTGCTATTGGTAAGCCAGTAATCGAGCCATTGTTTCATGTCTTCACTCCACAAAACAGAGTTCATTGCCTTCTTTCTAGCATCAGACACCTCCAAGAAATGTTCTGCAGTGCTATTATCTCCAATAACTTTTGCAAAGTAGGCAATATTGCATTCCATCTAAAACAATGGCAACCACAGAATTCATCAGGCTAAAGACCTTATCATTGGAATGGCAACCACAGCAATCATTGTTCCAAGTCATACCCCTAGTAGAAATGCATTTAAATCAACTGGTATTACAGAGGTTGTGGCCAATGTTGTTAAATCAGATGGATCTCTGCACCATTGATATGATTTCATCAATTAAATAGCATTTTTCTCTTCTTCAAAGACAACATGTAACTACTAAGTTGATGCTTGTTCCTCTGAGAAAGGCATCGAGGTTCCTAGCTTTGGACAAGAAGCCTAATAATCAGTGAGTTGCCATCATAGTGTATAAGAACCTAGGCACACATGAAGCGGACTACCATCAAATTTAATTTGTTTACAAAATTAGTTGTTTCGAAAATAGCACCTCATCCATCTTGAGCTGAAATCCCATCCTGATTCAGCAGCTGATGCCAGTTCACGGTAAAAGTGTTGTTTCTGTGATGCATTCAAGAGCTTGGAAGCAAATGCCTTGTCCTATGGCAAGAAATAAAAAAGTTAGAGCTTTAATGCCTCTTTTTTAATATGATAGTCAATAACAAACCAAACCAACACACACCTTTACAAAAGCTTCTGGCCTAGGCTTGTTCCACATTGCATAATAACGATTCAAGGTGTGAGTGCAACCTGTAGCATCCTGAATGGTCACTTTATGCATTCCTACAAGTCAAAAGGAAAAACCATTAGACTTGACATAAGAAGACTAAAGCCAAAAAGTGTATATTGAATATCAGCCAATCATAGATAATAAATTATGAAGTTCAGCAGTTGAGTTAAAAGTTGGAAGATGTAATACCGGAACTCCAGAACTCATACTCTTTCCGTAATGCAGGTAGACATCTTTTAACCAATTCTATATCACCAGTGCTACTGTGTATCTCATAAATCATAGCACTTAAAAGGGGAGGCTGGCTGTAAAATCATAGTATAGTTTTTAGTTGCCCTTTCAATTTGCCTTAACAAATCATTATGATAGCATAATAGAATTTACTAAAATTTAGGAGCTAAAAACATATTTAAATATAGCTGCATAATGGTGACTGATTCACAAACGCAAAACATTCAACCCTTTGGTATATCTTTTACCACCTTCTGTTAGTGTAGTAGGCTCTGGCACCATTAGGCACAAATCCATATTCATCTACGAGAGAGATGAAGTTAGTCACAATTGCAGTAGCTGTCTTGTACATTTTACTCACAAGCAAACCCCTGAGGCCAAAGCAAGCCAATATCAACAACAATATAGACACTGATAGAGCATGTTTGAGCCAACTTAAATTTAAAGAAATTATTGTTTATATTTTAAGAGTTTTGTCAAACAATTGCAAAACAAAGTGATTATTTCTCCACAAAAACCTAAACCAAACATATACAGTAAGGAATAATAATACTAACTGCTATGAGACTGAAAGCAATGTCAGAAAATATGGCAAGAGTCCAAAGAAGTGGAGAGTTTGAGAGAAATTGATCGAATGAGAGAACATATATTACAATTAAGGCTAACAGTGTCTCTTAAATACTAGAGAAAATGTAACCAACCTATTACATCCAACTAATACCATAACAACCTAACCAATTTGAAACTACCTATCATATACCAGGTAGGTTAGGAATCCGAGTGCAAACTAAGATAAAAGTTTAAGGAACAAGTATGTTATTATTATTTTTTAAAAGAATAATAACTATATAAACAAATTAATTAAATTGTATATAATTAAACATGGCAAAATTACATAAACAATGAACATACATGAATTCCAAAACATGTAATAAATTAATAATGTAAATGACATGAAATAATATAGACTTTTGTAGAAATATCTATAATAGAAGAAATCAATAAATTCAAATATCACAAATCAAGATAAAGGAGTTTAAATTAGGTAAAGAAATACAAATAAAGAAATGGAAAAATAGGAAGAAAAACATCTTCAAATTTCACTAAAATTATTAGTTTTTGAGAAAAAAAAAATCTAACCCAAACATATTCAACAGTATTCAATTTACTTATAGCTTATTGTTTTAAAGGAAAAATTAAGAGGAGGGAAATTTTAAATATTTATTGATGAAAATTAGTTTTTATTCATTAAGTAGAATGCATTATTATTTACTTTTGTTTTATTTTTTGGTTGAAAACTCCATCTATGACCCCATATTCGGTCCAAGCTTGAGTAAAGGTGGAGGGCTGCATTGACTTTTGGCAACCAACTTAAAACTTGTCAAAATATTTTACATGAATCGCTCACGATAATACTGTGCTAGGCTATTGAATTGTATGTAAAGAATTTAGCATCCTAAGAATCCATGGTTCAGTTTGTTTCATGGAATATTTGTATTATGACAAGACATTAGTTGAAACTATAATTTGTAAAAAGAAAAACAAAATGAGTTGAATATAAGGCTAAGAAACTTGATGCTATATGTTTTAAACTTTGATATTGATGAACTGAATTTTTTGTATATATTTTCCTTCAAATTTAGTACATAAACTTCTTATTGCGTATAACTGAATTGATTTGAACCACTTTTACTATTTAATTCTTTGTTAAACCTTAATTTTATTATTTTAGCATAGTGCACATTCTGACACTATTTTAATATTTGGGTTATAACTTAAACTCTATACTTCATTTTAATGTGATTCTTTCTTTGTAAGAAAGTTAAGAGATGGACCTACAATTCTTATAAAGAATTACGAGGTTGAATTTTAATGTCCAAAGCTAGACTTGAGTCTAAAGTAGAAGTAAAAAAGACAAACACGAATTGTGATTAGTATGCAATGTTCGAGTCATATTTCGATCCACAAATATTTGATTAGACTTATTCTAATAACATTTGAAAGTTAACATCTAGGGATATAATTCACTTTCAGACCACGAAGCCAAACAGACACAAATTATGGGCTGAAATCAAGGAGCATATTACCCATTCATTCAAGGAGAATAGAAGTCATCATTTAGGATATTTGTTTAAATTGTTATCTTTTCAAATTTCAGATTCTGTGAAATATAATTTTCTAGATTTTTATTAGGATTACTTATTATTAGGATTATGATTTTTATTTTTTAAAATAGAAAATTATTTTTAAAACAAAAATCAAACATGCTCTAATTTCATATTCAAAATCTTTTGAGTTCTATCAAAATTTTAAGATAAAGTAAGGTGAAAAAAATATTTATAAACTTGGCAAAAGTAAAACAAAAAATTAAAAGATTTGTATCAAGTTAAATGTATTAAGAATAAAGAAAAAAAGTTTTAGTTTCAAATTTAACAATAACCAAGAAGCAAATGGAAATATAACAAAATTAAAATTACAAGTGAATGATAAAAAATTGACCTATTACTGAGAATTTAAGTTGGAAAAGTAAAGAAAGTTCTTAAGAAAATGGACAATGTAAAATAATTGACACAAATAATATTTCTATTGAAGTTTAAAAATATTTAAAAAATAAAGAATTGAGTGACTATCTAATACTTGAAATATTTTGAATATGATAGATGAATGAAAGAAAATCACTCTAGTTCTACATATGAACACAAGGGTAATATCTAAAGTTGTGTAAAATATAGAGAAATTATACTTGAGTTATAGTATAAAATTATGAAAAAAAATGAACATAAACAACGAGATGAAATTAGAATTGCAAAAAATCAATTACGTTAAGGTTTATAACTTAGTTATATATTTTTTTATAAAAGTTCATAAAAAAATGTCGTTACAAAAAAAGTAACTTACAAATAGCTTTTATTAACATGGGGAAAACATATGACTTTGTACCAAGAGAAATATTATAACAAACTTTAAAAAAGAAAGCTATTTGTATAACATATATTCAAGTTATACAAGATACATATAAAGGAGTAACTATATGTGTGAGAACTTTTAAAAGAGTATTTAAAGACTTTTTTATAGGATTAAACTTATATCAAAATTTTGCTTTAAACTCTTACTTATTTAACTTAGTCTTATATGTGCTTATGAGTGATATAAAAAAAATTATCCTTAAATGCATGATGTTTGTTGATGACTTAGTATTGATTAAGAATTAAAAAAAACATATTAACGCTAAACTTGAGTTATCAAGAGAGACTCTAGAATCTAAGGATTGTTTGGAAAAGAAGATTTTGAAAAAAAAAAAAAGCACAAATTTTGTATTTTAAATAAATATATTAAAAATTAATATTTTTTTCAAAATAGAAGACATAAAATGATATATTGACACAAATTTAATGTATTAATCGTGCATTTAGTATCATAAATTATATACAATTATTTTAATTTAAAATTAAAAAATATGTCTTCCCTTACAAAAAAAACCCTTTCCAAACATACTCTAAGGATTTTCGTATATGTATTGCAATTTTTATAAAAAAAAAAATGAAGATCATATATTAAAAATTAAAATTAGAAATGACATTATACCACAAATCATTAAATTCAGGTATTTGGAATTGATTTTATAAAAAAAAATAGTAAATATTGAGTCTTAAAGAAATAATATGAAGAAAAAATATAAATGACAATGATAATGTTAAGGTAAATGCATGGTCACACAAGAAAGAGCAAAATAAAAAATAATTTTATACATGAAAATATTGAAGTAACATCTATATAGAAAAAAAATTAAAAATTATTTAAAGTAATTTAATTACATACAAAGAAAACTTTTATAGACACTGATAAGAAAAGTATATTACATTAATTTTAATCTGATCAAAATGGGTAAAAAAATCCTTTAAAAAATCAGTTAAATTATCCCTCGTAAGGGCCTCATCTAAGGACGAAGGAGGAGATTTCAAAATTCTAAATGCTAAGTGAACTCCCAAACCTATCTTAGCAAAATCATATGCAATGTTATTAGTAGATTTATTAACATGTTTTAACCTAACTATCCAATGCTTTTGTAGTAATCTCAAATGTTTGACACCAACTCTCTCTTAAAGCTTGTAAGTAAATTTGAGCCGAGCAATGGAATTTCATCATGTTAAATTCACAACAAATCTTCTTATACTGTCTGGTACAAGTGCTATAAATATCATTTATAAATCGATTAGGAATATGCTTCTTATACTATAGCAGTTTAAAAAGTTCAGTAATTAACATCCTAAACTTGAATGTAATACACATTACATTTCATCATCATAGAAGAAGAATTTTAATTATCATCAACATTGAGTTTGTTTTATTATTAATTGGTGACTTCAGATGCCAAATTTTGTGTACTATTTTAAATAGTTTCTCATAAAAAAATATTAACAGTTACACTTATAGCTTGACACTGTAATAAAATATTTGATATCTCATTTAATTGAGTCCATTCAAAGGTTGAGTACACTTTGTTTTCTTTCAAGTACTGAATAACTACTATTTAGTTTGAAAATTTTATTTTGCTAAAAAATAAAAACTTGTTTTTAAATATTTTGCTAAAATCCAATGAAACAAGCTTTCAAGGCTAATTTAAATTCTGGTCGAAAATGAAAACAGAAAAATAAAAGAAGAAACCAAAGAGGGGCTCATGTTTTACCGAATAACCCAGTAGGAATCCCAGTAATAGAGTTCACGAAAGCGCGATCCAGCAATGAGAAAAGGTGAAGGAAGAGGAAGCAGAGTGTGGAAGTGAGGCTCTGTTATCACCGTCCCACGCACTCTCCGATTCAAACTATTCCAGAGAGAATGCACCTTCAAACCCCATTCCCTCACCTCCACGCGCTCCACCTTCGCCAAGAACCCACGCGGCTCTCTTTCGAAATCCTCCGCATCCAAATGCTCCATGTCCTCCTCCGCTCCTTCCAAGTACGCGCGTGTGAAGCGCGTGAACTCCTCCGCCGAACCCACTTTTTCAAAGGCTTCTTCCGTTACGCGCAAATCGAACTTGAGAGCCATGTCAACGTAGGTCTTGGGATCCACGGCGGAGCCGAAGGCATTGAATGCTGCCTCCTGCACGCGCTCCAGAAAGGAAACTAAAGGCGCTGTCCTCTTCACAGTGCCTGAAACTGAATAGGAATCTGAAGTCGAATCCATGTGAAACGCAGAGGAATAGGAATAGGATGATGATCCTCACAGTTTATGTGATGATAGTCTCAAACTGCACGAACACAGGATTGGAGCGTTCCAAGTTGGAAATGCAGAGAAGGAGAACATATAACTATTCATTTGTTTTCTTTTAACTTTTCATTAATCTCAATGGTTAGGAACGAATTTAAAAATTATTAAAGGCTGTAATCTTTTTATTAAAAAAATATACTTGTTATATTCAAATTATAAAAGTACCATAGAATGCTTGTAAGTTCTATTATTGATATAATATTGAAGGCTTTCGGTCAGTTAACAGTATTAGAGTATAACAGTGATATGATCTTGAGTCTTTCAGAGTTTATAGAACCGTTGTTCTTGTAAATAACAACTGTAAAAACATCTGTTTTAACTCAATCTATAACATTATAAATAAAGTGACTAATATCTATAACATTATGAATATTATTACTACAAATACAACTCTGACTTCTTCCGAACTCTCTCACATCTTTCTAAACTTACCTATGTTCTTACCAAAAATTTGCATCAAAATAGTTCTTGAAAAACTTGAGAACTTGATCAAATAAACTTATGTTCCGAAGATGTTAAGGTTATTGAATCTATAGTTTTCTTACTAATCTCTTACTGTGTAACATCATCTTTTTATTTTTTGGTAATTTATGTTTTGTTTAATATTAAGTGGTATTTTTAGAAGAGAGTATGAAAAAATTTTGGTGCAGGAGATCTTGCTCAGGCGAGATAAATCTCGCCTAGACAAGACTAAGCATGTAGAAATACATAATTGCAAAGTTATCTCGCTTAAACTACATAATCATCGGTGAATATCACAGAGCTCGAACTCCTTATTTTTACTTTTATCTTCTCTATTTCCTCTTTACTCAAAGAGTACTCTTTTCTGTAAGGTGTAGAACTACCTTAGTCTGTGAACCATCCTTTTCTCACTTTTTCTTCACCAAACTTGTTGATTAAGGTAAGGAAAGCTCTATTTTGTTACTAAGAAAGTGATATGTTTGTGTATATGTTGGATGAGAACATGTTTTTATTATGTTTGAAGCATGTTTAGTGATGTTTGATGATGTGTATATTTTTTATTTGAATGTACATGTATGTATGTTGTGGACTCAGTCTGAAAGTGACCAACTTTCGTCAATGATTAATTGATGTGTGATGTAATAAGGAACTAGAGCAAAATAGAGAGATAAAAGGATGAATAACATGTGAGTAGAAAAATAATGAAATTTGGCACATAATGACTAATAAGTAGAGCAAATCCATAATGAGAAATATAGAAAAGAGATAGAAATTATGGAAGGGAGAATGAAATGAGAAAGGAATATGATAAGGACAAGTATAGATAGTTCAGAGACAATTATTGTAACCTCTTTAGAGCAATATATCTATGAATGTTATTTCACGTTTTCTTTTTAATTTGTTTAACTTCCATGAATCCATTTTCTAAATTTTTATTATTCCACGTCTTATGCTCAATTAGCAATGGATTTAAATTAATTATTCTTTTTTTACTACGAAATTATTTTCTTATTGTTTTAAATAAAATAAGGATGTCATAGAAATCAAATAAAATAAAGAACCTTTACCCATATATCATGAAGCTCTTAAGATTCTAAAAGAGGAAGGATTCTTATCAGAACCTCCAAATAATTCAGATCTGATCACATGGCCTCCACCTTTAGAACTTTGTAACTCATTCTCTACTCCGCCAACATTTGTCCCAAAACCAATTCCTTGTATGATATTCTCTAAGTATGATATTATTGTGAATGAGTATAGATTATAAAAAATAAATATAATCTTTTAACAATATTTTTTAAATTAATAAACTAACTATAACACCCTCATTTTATTACTTTTGTTTTAGAAAAGAAGGAGTCAGTGAAAGGTCGCTCGCTCAAGCGAGATATGTTTCGCTCAAATGAGAGTGATTTTTCTGAACCAAGCATTCTGAAGCACTCTTATTTAAGTGAGAGAGGATAATATCACTCGAACTGTCCACTTATCCAAGCAAGAAATGCTTCACTTAAGTGAGGAGTCGCAAGAAAAATAGAGAGCTCTCTAGACTCATTCTCACTCAGGCAAAAATATCAAAAAACTGTGTAAAATCATTGTCTAGTTTTCTTATACAGGCAAGAGTCGACCTCGCTCTAGTGAGAATCCGCTCGTTCAAGCAAGAACACCTAAGTTTGGAGGAGTATTTAAGGAACTCTCATCCTAGAAACTTTCATTTATAACCAAACAACCTTCTCTTTCATTTTTACGTGTTCTCTCATATTCTCTTCCCAGATAAAACTCTTTTGAATCTCACACATTTTCCAAATTCAAGCTTGAACGTCTATTCCATTCAAATCCTAAGTAAGCTTCTTGGAGTTTAACTCTCTAGCTTTACTCCTTTTTTTTTTTTTTTTTCTCTTTCTCAAGAAATTTATACTTTATAATTTTTAACGGAATCTTGGTCTTTTTGATAAAATCTTCAATCAGAAGCATTTTACCTCTTCTCTGGAACTCAAGGAGAACTTAATCTTAAATACCTATTTCCAGGTAATGCATAGAACCATGATGTTTTTTAAAACCTAAGTATTGAGAATGAAATTTTAGGAATGAAAAATTTGTTTTGAACCTTAACTCTAATATTCTTATTTTAAATAGTAAAGTTCTAATAATTCTTAAGGTTTTAATTTTAAGAATGAAATATTTTAGCATAAAAAACTAATGATTTATTTTAGAAAATACTTAGATATGATTTGTATGGCAAAAGTTATGAATAAAAGTAGCTTTTTGGGAAAAAAAAATTATTTTATTATTATGTATGTATAGTAAATGTTGAATTGTTATTTTGAATAATGTGTTAGAAGATGCTAAATCTTAGGTTAGATGATTTTATTAAGATAGAGAGAGTGCAATCTTTGACAATATATCTCTGAACTGTATGATTGGTCTAAGTTTGAATGTGTCTGACTTTTGACACATTGCATTGATTTATATGATAAGAAATTGATGAATGATTTATCTGTATTAGAATCATAAATTGCAATGAGTGTGAATTTTTGTCTGATAGTTGATGTATGTTTAAACTATTGAATTCATCTTATTGATAAAAGTGTTTGACTACCATTGGATGATAAAATGCTTTATTAGTAAAAATTGATAAATAGAGGACTGATGTGAATAGGTGTGTATGAAAAATTAAAGTTGTTTATGTTATTAAAGTGAAAAGGGAGTGCTAATAAATGTGTGTCATGTGAAATGCTCATAAAGCAAATGTTATGAAAAATGCTGAGATTATGTATATAGATAGTTACAGAGATACATCAGGAGTATAAAGTCTGGAGACGATTTGAGAAATTTTGAAAAATGAGGGTGTTAATTGTTATTCGTAACTTGGTGCACAATGATTTGCAGAAAGTGAAAACATCACAAGTCACATACTCATTTCCTAACTAGACTCTGTATCTTTGCTGTAAGGGGCCTGAAGAACACACGTTATATTCATATTGTTCGGGCTAATAAATGACTATCTATACTTATGTTAAACCTCAAGGTATCTTAGGGGCAATGATTGTAAGATGTGTTATTGTAATATCATAATGGATTGACTAATTCAACTATAATACATTGACAGATGTAATTATAATGCATGTATTGTAATGAATTGATTAATATAACTATGATATACGTATTATGACATATTATTCGATGTAAAAATATATGAAACGATATGAGTCTAGTGTATATTTGAAAGTACTAATTATATGTAGGGTGTGCATGGATTGAATTTTCAAACAACTAATTTAGATCCATTTAAAATTCAATTATATAGATTGGATTATAAATCAATCCATTTTAATTTTCTTAAAAACTGGTTTAAATTTGGTTTTAAAAATTGGATTTAGTTTAAAACCAATTTTAAATCTAGTAAAAATATACTATAAATATTTGTTTATTGTTAAATTAATATATTAAAAAATATTTAAATTTTATAATAACTAATATAACATCATATTTGCATATATATATATATATATATATATATATTTATTGTTAAGCATCAATATTTTATTATAGATAAAAATATGAGTACAAGGGGTATTCTAACCCATTACATCTTTAAAAGAAATTAATAATACATGTCAAAAGAATATTTACATATATTTTAATTTATTAATAATATATTTTTTATATTTTTATATTTTATCAAACTAATAAATATTTAGATATATTTTACTTTTTATCATCTATTTATCACACAAATTTATTACATGGATTGAATTTTAAACTATTTTATTTTATTTTTTAATCAGTTTTGAAATTTAAATTTAGTTTAAAATCAGTTTTAAATTTAGTTTTTGTTGAAACTAGTTTTAAATTTAGTTTTATGTTAAATTAGTTTTAAATTTAATTTTTAATACAAAACTGATTTTCAATATATTTATGAATTTTATTTTTAAGATAAAACAAATTTGTTGTACGTAACATTACAAAAAGATTTTAGTAATATTTATTAATTATATTATATTTTATAAAAGTTTATAAAATATTTACTATTATTTTTAACATTTTTAATAAATAGAGTTGATGATGAAAATTTAAATTAAAACCTAAAAACAATTAATAATATAAATAATAATAAAATTATTATATTATAATATTTTAAAAATAAAAAAATAAACATAAATATAAAAAATAGTAGTAATTAATTTAAAAATATTTGTTATATTTTATTATCTTTAATATAATAATTATATTTTAAAAATATTTTCTTAAATATTTAATTTTAATTATAAGAATTAAGATTAATAAAAAATATTTGTGGTAAAACGTAATTACGATAATTTTTTAAACTGATATAGCACGGAGATTTAATAAATAAAAATATAAGATATTACTTTCATACATATGAATCTGGATAAATAAAAAAAATTCACTTTTAAAAAGTGAATTTAGACACTAAATCAGTTACACAAATATAG